CTTTTTTTCACATGCTACGGGTGCTTTAATTGGACGTGTCCTTTCAGATCTTTTTTTCACATGCTGAAAAGTGAAAATTGACCATAGAAGAAGAAAAGGTTTATGCTAATGTCTGCTGTAGCGCCTCTTGTGGCCACACTGAGAATGCAGCGTACATGGATTGCATTATGAATTGCATTGTGATACATTTCTGAATCTAATAGTGCGTGGAATTGTGCTTGGATAGCTACAAGCATTTGTGTTCCCTTTATTGTATGATGAACTCCGAGCATGAATATGTCTGTCATTGGAAGCCATGACTTATTGAATAAGGTCTTACCTGGTCTAACACACACATAATTTCACACATTGGCTTTCTGGGGTCAGCCCTGTAGTCTCTTTGCGGGTAAAAATAACATGCAGGGTCTGTTCTCCTAATATTTTCTTCATTTTGGACTCTTGAAGCTGTTTTGGCACAGATACGCTGTTCAGCTAGTCAAGCGCCAGCTACTGAGAACACGGTGTATGAGAGAGAGAGAGAAAGGTGCCTAGCAGACTCCTCTAACAAAATCAGCCTTAAATGGTCACACACTTTTCCTTGTTAACACACACCCGTTAACGCACCCTAGAATGTGCTTTCTGTGCGGTACATAACATGCTGTGTTAATACCTGTTTGCTAATTGTAGTTTCTTGGGTGGGACACCCTCACACACACTTCCACGCACTTAAACTTCAGACCTGTTGGTTTTTCAGCAGCTGATTTTAGGGCACACAGTGGTTCCTTTTTTAAAAAAAATTTTTTAGGTTAACTACACCATTCTCATCCAGTGTTGTTATTGTTAACTATAACTAACAATATTAAAATAGTTTTCAGTAATTAAAATAAAGCTGAAATAAAATTAATTATAAACATTCAATGTAAAATTAAAAAAATCTTAAATGGAAATTAAATATGTTATAATTATAATTAAATATGTTATAAAATGTTGAAATTAAATATATGAGAGCGGGTGTGAGGTGAGAGACTGGGCTTTTCGAATCAGCAGTAGAACACATTCAGATCGTCCGCCAATAGTTGATTCTCCACAGACTGTGGGGGTGGTGTCTTGTACTTACTGATGTTCCTCAGACCAGTCCATACTGATGCCGGGTCGTTGGCTGAAAACTGTTTTTTCAGCTTTTCAGAGTAGGTTTTTTTTATCCACTCTGATCTCTTTTGTCAGTCTCTTTCTGGCCTGGTTGTACAAGATTTTATCCACACTTCTGTAAGCATCCTCTTTGTCATGAGTTTCCCAGTAAATCACGGTTTATCATTATTGAATGATAAGAATGACCTGGTGGGGATGCACATATCCTCACAGAAACTGATATGTGAAGTTACAGTCTCTATGAGCTCGTCCATTCGTCTATTATATAAAGATAATGCAAGTTATTAGCATATTACAGTGTGTATAATGTCATATTTTACGCATCCATTTGGTCCCATTGGTCAAGAAAATCTGAGCTGAATTAGGCAGAGAGTGTAAATACAGTAGTTCAGCTCATCATATGAGAACTTGTCGGTGTACATAATAATCCAGCAAAATTTACAGTAAAAAAACAATAGCATTGCGTCATAACGCACCCGCTTTTAATCAAGGAGAAATGCCAGCACAAATTTGGGCACGCAGCATACCGACTCATTTTGTATTATAGCCATGATGTAAATGGAATGATAAAAAAAAAAATCCAGCAAAACTTTCAAACTTTGTTTGACACATTATCTGTTTTTACCTAATTTTGCAGTAAATGTTCACAAGCTAATACTTACAAACAGGTTTTATTTTTCATTTTGGTTGTATTTTTTTATGCATTAGAAGAAAGTCTAATGAAACCAAAAATAAACATGAAAAAGCGACATGGTTATATTTTTTACGTTCATGACAATGATAAAATAATTGATAGCCAAATTAATGTCTTGTTAATTTTTTCATTTAATTATCCGAAGGACCGGGTTGCCAATAAAAAAGAAATGGGATGAAACTACTTTTTTAAACAATTAAAAAAAAAAAATCAGACATAATATTATTTTTATGTTTCATTGACTAAACGAATAAAGGAGGAGCCGTTTCTGTGAGTGGATGTTCTTCCGCCATCTTTGGCCAATGCTGACGCTAAAACGAGGATTGTGGGGAAATCAGATCTCATTAATATTCATGAACTCAGCTATTCTTACCTGTAAAATGGCATTTCTAGATATCTGTAAAAGTATTTTTACTAGTTAAAATATTATTGAAGATATACTGCCTTTGTTGATATCTATAATTACCTTACTAGTAAAAAGTGAATTCTTGATATTAAGAATTCAGTTGTTACGTTGAAATGTTAATTCTTGATATCTGTAATTATATTTCAGCATGTTACATTTGTTATTTCTGATATCTGAAAATGTATTTCTGATATCAACAATTGGGAGTGTAATTTCTGATATCTAAAATGACTTTTGTTACTAGTAACAATCACATTCATGGTATCAGAAATGAACATTGCCACTAGTGACAATCGAATTATTGATATCAAAAATGAACATTTTAACTAGTAGCAATTGAAT